TGTTATACTGTTTATAAATATGTATTTATGGCTGTGAGGCAGGTATACCCCCACAGAGGGCAAATGTCATTTTGCAATCCAAATACATGGTTTATTGTCTTTCAGTAAGTATTTTTAGCTTTGGGGCAGGTAGACCTGCAGAGTAAATAATACAAAAGAATACCTGCATTACAGAATTGCTTCTGTGCTTTGAAACTACGCCACTCTTCTTCCAGATGTGAACATAGTGAGACAAGTACATTGGCAAAATAATTATTTATTAGTCTTAAAAGTTTCCTTCAAAATTTCTATCATTCAAATACTGGCTGGGAAAAATGAAAAGTACAGACAAGCATATTTTATGCACTCACTAGTCTAGCTTTTATGCTGATGAGAACTTACTAAACACCAGTAAAGGGAATAGCAGTTATCAGCCCTAATTCACAACTGTGAATTCTGTAGGCCAAACAGATGCCCTTGCAGAATCACAGCCAAGTGCTACAAGAGGCCCAGACCTTTTTCCATGGCAGTTACTAGATATTTTATTTAGCTTTAAATGGGACGGGGTTTGCTTCAACTCAAAGCATGTGGTTCTCAGTGGCACTCTCATTGCCTGGTCCCAAGGTGCTCAAGGTGCTTCCGACAGTGAGCAGCACTGGGACCTCTGGCATTATAGAAAAAAAAAGGAAAATATAAAAAGACACTTTGCCCCATTATTTTTTCTCCTTTAATGTATGGGATTCTGCTTTTCAATTCTTTTTTTTTTTTTTTTTTTTTTTTTTCCTTCCAATTGATTAAATAACAGGAAGCAGAACTTCAACATGAAACTGGAAAAATACAGTAAGGGCAGGACCCCAGTCAAGCTTTATACTGCAGATCTTGATCAGACAAATCAATGCTTGAGAGTGATCATGTCTTTAAAAGGATACAGGCTAAGAAAATTTAAGCCTGGGTGTAAACATGTGCAAACTGAGGTTTCTTTCTTCCATCTTTGCACTTGAAATGAACACTGAGAGGGCAAAAACGTCCTAATCCTGTCAAAGCAACATTTTTTTCTGTTTCCTAAAGCTGATATTATCATCTCATTGGTTGTCACATAGTTCCTGAGAGAAGTAATTCACTTGATTTTCCTTCATAATCTCAGCATATGTCTATTGTTATTGGAATGGAAAATACACATAGCCTGCTGCCTTGCCCCTTTTAAGTTACTTACAGTCCTGGAAGTGGCAAGCTTCAAAGCAACACAATTGCACCAAAGAAAGCTAAACCTGCTTATAGTAAGTTTCAAGGAACCTACTAGTTAGCAGTTCTTGTTGACAGAAGCAGGAAAATTTCCATTTTAAAATTTCAATTCAAATTAAATCAGTGAAGACTGCAGACCACAAAACTGTTGCTATTGCTTTCCAGCACATAAAATTAACAATTTGTGCTGGTATGTGCAACTTTCAGTCAAAGTTTGTTTGATTTATAAGTGAGCAGATGGTTCATACGATAGTCCACAATAAATTACAATGGTTAGAAAGACAGCTACATTTTGAGAGTGACAGTGCAGCTGAGCTACAGATGGGTTTATAGATGACCCTTCCAATTTTTAATAATCTCCATAATTTATGTGCGAGTAAAGAAACGTGAGGATTCCTAATGCACCTTCTTGACTAAGTACAAATCACTTTTATTTACACAGGCAATACTTCATGGTCCAGTTAACTTCCTAATTAAAGGCAGCAAGATGCTCATGTTCCATGCAAGTGGCATGGAAAATACTGTTTACTGTGCAATATGTTCAGCTGGGAGTTTAAGATGCTCTGATCACTCCTGGAAAAGTGAATGCCTCTATCTTGTTTCTTTAAAACAAGACTACAAGGGTGCAAATACTGCTACCACCAGTTACTATTCATTACTCTCCAGATAAACTTCAGGCTTGTGTGATAACAAGGCTATGTTTATTTGCAAGCTCTCATGTTTACAAATAGGATCCTAATCCAGGAGGCACTACAAACCATGTGTTACTGAGCCAGGACTCAAAATAACAAAGAGCCTCTGTTCCTTTTGTTTCCTAAGAGAGAGGTATTTTTGGGTGTCATTCTTGAATGGGTGAGGGAAAAGGTGAGTAAGCCTGGCAGGTCATTGCTGACAGGAGGCAGCGGTGATGCAGAAGGAAACTGGCTGGAAGTAGCTTTTAGCAGCCAGTTCAAGCCTGGGATTTTAAAGCCCACATCTCCAGCATAGGACCAAAACACTTTGGCACAATCCTTCTGCTCATATTTTCTAAGAGAAGGCCAAAAAGATACCTTTATTGGTATCATAAATTGCATGCCACAGTACCACAAATTTGTTCTTCCCAGATGTAATTTCAGTTGCAATGAGTTGTCCTTCCAAAAGGAGGGCAGCTGAAAGCAACCACTCACTGCAGAAGGTGATAAAGGGGGTGGTACCTGCTACAGCTCTTTAAGGCACAAATCACAGAAACTCAGAGGTTCTAGCACAGCTACAGTCTCCTAGGATGACACCTGAGGGGATTTTGCTCCTGTCTATGCTTTGGTCTTCCCTTCCTGCCGAATTAGTTTGCAAAAGAGAACCATTTGAAGTGGAAATCCGAAAACTATCTTTAAACCTGAAAAAGAAAAAAAAAAAAAAAAAAAGCAAGTCTGCGTGTATATTAATTACCACTTTCCTGGGACTTAAAGAGATAGCAAAATGTGACAAATTCAGGCTTGCACCAATTATTAGAGTTCATTAGAAAATCCAATCCGTGGAGGTTATGGAATGGCAAAACATGATTCTTTCCCTGCCATTTCCATCAATGCCATGAAGCTCACCGAGCCCCTTCATCTAGAACATAGAACAATACCAACACTGCAATTTTTTTTCCCCTGAAAATCTACTGTAAATAACCAGTGTTTGAAAGACTTTTGAGCTTTAAATAAAACCATTATCTATTACTGCACACAACTTTTAGTTTGTTTAATTAAGCATAAGGAAAATACTATATGCCAGCTTATTTCTTGGATATTTTGTACTGTGATTTGTCATATTGTTTCTGTTACACTGTGCACATTTAAAGCCGTATTATGCATTTCTGAAAACCCAGAGAAGATTACTATGGTATTGGTCTGGATATTCATCAGCACTAGTGAGTGCTGAGTTTGGCACTTTATTTTAGCAATACTCATCAAGATCAGGAGCTCCTTCTATGCTTCCCTCCAAGAGAATTCTGGGTCATACTACTGTGCTTTAAACAAATATAGCTTTGGTTATTTAATAATATTTTTAAATAGACTTTAAGTATCAGTCCTTTGAATGCAACCCTTTGATTTATGTACTATAGGCCAAATTCATACACGGCACAAGGAAGCATAATTTGACTGAAATCAATAGGATTGTCCCTGGTGCTCTCAGTCCATTAATAATTCCAGAATTGTTGTGAGCAACCTGAAAGCCAGCACAGGCTATTCCAGTTTAAATTCACTAGGAAGTCAGAGAAACTACACACATGGTTTATGCAACTAAATAGTTAATATAGCATCCAGGATTCATCTACTGAAGTCAGCAGAGAGCCTTTGACTCACTAGGATGTAGATCAGCATTTTCTGGCTTGCAACTAGACCCTTATCAGGGCAACAGCAAAAATAAGTCTAATCTTGGAGGATGGATAAAGCAAGGAGCACATGGAGCCCTTAACTTATATTTGTTTTTCCTTGCATTCATTAAACTATCAATGGTGAGGAAAGTAGTTTTATAACTTCAAGAAGGAGACATCTTTTGTCCCCCCACCTTATTAAAATGTAAATCAGTACAATGGTATGTAAACAGTAAATTCCCAGTAGCAAGAAGGGGTTTTTAGTTCTCTCAGTAATCAAATATTATTTTTAGCCATCTAACTGAAGAAAAAGAAATGTAAATGGCAATTCTTCAGTCTATTTATCAAATTGAGTGCTGCACCTTTTCCACACACTTTACATTAAAAAGTGTATGACACATTAAGGTTTTATAGTTCTCTTTTAATTTGGAGATGAAAACATTTATAGATATGAACGTTTTCTCATTAACTTTTCTTCCTAAAATGATTATGTTTGTTGAAATCAATTCCTAGCCATCTTAGAGAGGTTACAACCTTCAATAATTAAATAGGATATTGTATTGGATGTTATGTTGATTATTCTACAAGTTCCAATTTCTACAAGACCACTGAAATGCTGGATAAAGGGGCGTTAACTATTTAATTAGCTACCTGCCATTGTTATCAAAATGGAAGGTTGCTATCTGACTCAAAGTAACACTTCAGATCAGGAAATAAGATAGATTACATTTTCTTGGGAGGATTCTGGAAACCATATGTAATCTTTTCAGTTATGCTACAGCTACTCAGGACAAACAGGATTGCATTAGAAAGAACAAAAGGCACTGACAGTCAACGAAACGCTACCACAAAAATGCTATTTCAATCACTCTTGGGTTCTTTCTCATTTTCAGTTGTTAACATCCTTGCCACTTTTGTCAAGCAGTCTCACTGAGCAGCGTTGAATTTTAACTGCACATAATTTTAAGATACAACATGAAATAGGACTGAGTACATAGTATGGGTTTATTGTGACAGCTAACAGATCAGGCCCTTCTGCCAAGGCATCAGCTCTTTGCAGAAAAGGACTAACTTTAAACACAATCTGGATTTCACAACTGCCTGCTACCACTGTACCTCAGAAATATTAGGTCTTTCAGTCGAGTACTGCTTATGATTTATCTTAAAGGGAGACCAAAAGACAATGTGAAATCTCAGTGGTCCTGGGAGAATTTTAACTGTGACTTACACAAACTAAACCCACATATATCAACCTTGCAACTGCCCAGATGATATTGTATCTTGATGAAGTACCCAAGGGACACCCACTGTCTCTCTCCCCAGATTACATTTGTATAGAACGGCCAAAGTAATTTATCCGGTAACCGTGTCACCCTGCCACTTCAAGGTTTCTTACAGTTAGGACTACAGAAACGTGATTATTTTTTTCCCGACAACTTACTGGTCTTGACCGGATTTCTTTGGCGTAGAGAGGTTTCAAGAATTCTGAATCTCCTTCCAGCTTTAGACCCTTATCCGTGATTCTCAGGTTGCCCATTCCATCCTAAAACACATACAAAAAGAAACAACCCCATTAGTTACAATTACTAAATTCATCAGGCTGACAATAAATGAAAGATTTCTTTTTCCTGCAGAGGAGAACATGTAAAGCACTGGGAGGCACTAGAGAATGCAATTACTTGTGTTATCCTTTTAGCTCTGTTTCTGTGAAAAAAAAAAAATCCATTCAGAGCAATCTGCAATGCCCCCCAGTAAACCATTTACACAGATGAAAGATGTTCTTTTAAGCTAGTCATCTCTACTCAAAGAGATGCAGTGATGCTCTGCATTAACAGGAAACTATTCACTGGAATATTAACCGTGTGCCCGTATATTAATATACCTTCTCATTCGTGACAAATCCATACAAAGAATATGTGATTAATTTTACTGAACTCCATATGGAGAGTGTGTGATTAATTCCACTGAACCGACAAAGTAAGTTTGGGCTATGTAAGAGTACTGCAATAAAATGTGGTATAGAACCTGACCCCCAGTGTTTGGGGAAATCTCTGCAAAACACAGACTCTTTGGTGTGACGTCCTTAGGGCTTATGACAAAAAGATGCGGAAAACTGTTGATTAGTTTTAAGTCTCACAGGTTTTCTTGTGCTTTCGATGCTGTAAAGACACTGCACAGCTCGATCAAAATATACATTTCTGCAAATACGTGCTCTGGGAAAAGTAACTACACAACAGGAATATCTTTCTAATGGATTGCTCTCTTGTCCTGGACTAAATTCTGACTTTTCTTTCCTGAGATGATCGGCTCAGGATTTTAGCCTTCCCTCTGCTTTTTGCACAGCCTGAATGCATCCCAGCAATCCAAACCTCTGTATCCAAATATTTGTGTCTCCTGCCTTTCGAATAACCATTGCGAAGTTCGAGAGATCAGGCATTAAGTGACTGCTGTAACATGCATCTCTCTTCTCTCCTCATTTGAGGAGCCATCAGCACTCTCCCCAGCTCTGCACAGTGCCAAGCTCCCCCAGTCCCCACTGCTCCCTGTGCTTCAATGGGAGAAATCTTGACAAATGACACGAAGCATTGGCTGCAGGCCTCCAGCAGATGACTGCAAATAGTCCATTTTCTTTAGAAATTGTTTAGTTATGTACGTCCAGGATGTAATGAAACATCTGACATACCATAATAGCAAGCAAAATGTATGTCAAAATTGCGTATGAGTTTTTCTTACAGTTTTTATGCAATAAGACAGGTATATGGATACATTAACAGAGAGCAGAATCGGGCCAAACTAAAAATATTTCACCTTTAGCTTGTGAGAGAAAGTCACAACTTTTAATAAGATGTGGGACTTAGATTCGTTTAGGCTATAATTGTTTAGAAAGGGGTACGTGTGTGTTTAAGAAACATGATGCGTGGGGGGAATTGCAAAAACAAATATCATCAAAACCAAATCTAATGTAAGGAACAGAACAGAACAACTCAGTTGGAAGGGACCTACAAGGATCAGAAGGCCAACCGCCAGGGCTAACCAAAAGTTAAAGCATGTTATTAAGGGCATAATCCAAATGCCACTTTAATGCTGTGAGTCATGGGGCACCAACCACCTTGCTAGGAAGCCTGTTCCAGCTTTTAACTACTCTCAGGGTGAAGGAGTTTTTCCTAACGCTCTGTGTAAGTCTCCCCCGGTGCAGCTTTGTGCTGTTCCTGTACATCCTGTCCTTGGTTCCCAAGGAGAAGAGACCGTCGCCTTCCCCTCCTCAGGAGGCTGTAGAGAACACCAAGGTTGGTGCGTGAATCTTGAATGCTTCCTAATCCAGATGCAAAAACTAAAACCCATCTACCTCCTCCTCCTCATGCTGTGTATGCCCCTCCATCTTGGCAAGAGGAATCAATCCCATTAGAGGTGAATGACTAACCCAACGAGGCTCACATAAACCACTGCCAAATGATGGGAATTTTGAGGGATTCAAATCAAAGCCCTAGTGTGTCTCAGCAGTGATGCTGGTCACTTGCCAGAGGTTCCCCTGTTGCAAGAAGTATCGCTCCCAGGGTGTACCCTGCCAAGCAAAGATCGCTTTTGCCACAACGTGATGTCTTACGAACAAAGGCAGGCTCAGGAGTGCTGGCTGATGAACTGACCGCTGTCATATCATTTTGAATTGAAAGCTCTAAGTGAACTTTAAATAGAGACATATACTGAAAATGCTATTGATTGCTGAAGGGAGGGGAATGAGAGATGGGTCATAAAATGCCAGTTGCTACATTCCCCTTCCCAGGTGTAAAATACTGGCTTATGAATTCTGGGTTGGTGGTGGCACAGAAGGGGGATTCATTTATCTCAAGCAAAAGTATGAAGGAAAATGAGTGAAATATGATTATGCACCAAAGAGCCAAGATTAAATTTTGATAGCGGTATGCTTTGCGATTTGAGTGAGCAGAAATTATTACAGCTATCTGCAGACCCTCACATGTTTTGCACTGCTTAAAAAAAAATAAAAATATTTCCCAAAATAGATATTTCAGTAAGCCCTAAGGGCTTTCACATTGCAGTTTCTTCCCTGGTTTCATTAGAAAAGTTGCAGGTCAGGTGTGCAGGTGTATGCAACACAAAGCTGCAAGAACAACCATCTCTGGGGATTTGCAATCCTGACCATTTCCAGGGCTCACTCCTGAGCTGACGTGGGGCAATACTCCACCAGCAACATGGACCTATAAAGGCACTGGTCAAGTCATGACTGAAGCCATGGCAAATAAACAATTTCAGTGGCTTATGGCTTCAGTCTATCCTGAGTAGGGATGCATATCTGGCATTCCACTTTTCTCTTGAGTCTCTCTCTTCCTTTCTCTCCTTCACCCTCTGTTTCCAAGTACCCCCACAGGACTATTACACATAAGAAACACTTGTAGGAGCCATATAGCTCACATCTAGCAGGTCAAAAACACTCATAGGGGCCAAATAGCACATATCTAGCAGGTCCTATACATTCCAAAAGACTTGTGCCTATGGGACCATGTTCTACAACTAGAACATCAAGAACACATTTGATTTATACCATACAAGCCAACATATGCTGTTACAAAACCATTGGGTGGGAGAAAATAAGGCACTTCCCCATGTTACTCTTCTCAGCCTTTGACATACTCACTCCGGCCCCACTCACCGGACACTACCTCCTGACTTTGCTGGGGTTTGGGATCAGGATGCAATGCTTAGTACTGACTCTTACCATCATTAACTCTCTACTGCTCATGTTTCTTGTGATAAAGATGACAACTTTTTGTAGTGACATTCTGGGTAAGGCAAAAAACACGCAAAGATTGTAATTTGAGACTAAAAGTGAATGAGAAATTCTGATCTCTTACAGTAAAATAATTATTGAATCGTATTCATTTATTATTTCCCATTAGGAAAAAAAATATCTGCAGCTTGCAGAATTGTATAAAGGTACCAAAATACAGAAACATTAGAAAGAAATCTTTGTGTGAAAGACTACCTTGCATGTTGTTTTTGATAAAGCATCTTCCTCCTCCCTAAAGTATATAGTTTAATAGAAACTAAATGTCATACTCTGCTACAGTGAATATGTATAGCACTCGTGCTATGAAATTTCATGGACCTTGACCTATAAAATGTAGCAGAAAGCTGGCCAGAGAGACAGATACCATGACTTTTTTTTTATTAAACACTGTGTCTGCAATTGGTATATATCCTTATCTGCCATCATGTTGTTTGTGAATAACAAAAAACAATGTGGTATTGATTATTTGGTACACTGACATCTGACAATCTCAGTTTCTCCCCTTTTTATTAGTAGACTCCTCGACAGAGAATGAATGACTTTATTGTGCAGGCACAAACCAGCTTTGTGGGAGCATCCAGGCTAACTGCTGGAAAACAAGAGGCACAGAGTCAGAAACTTTCCATTACCACCTGCTCTGAATTGTTCAGCTTTTTTGGAAGAGCGTGGTGAAAACTTTCACATCAACTTTATCATCTAAACCACCTCTCTTTTTATACAATGCCTTGTAATGGGCAGGCATAAAAATTTATGTGCTATCACTGACTGCTCTGTGTTAAAATGGGACAGCAATGGTAAAATCCTGAATAACATAAATGTCATTTTGGTGTTGCTGAATGACAGAAGACTTTCTCATTTTTATTAGCTTGAGAAGGAGTTCAGTTTAACAACCAATTACAACTGATGGTGCTGGTGTTAGAGGAAGAGCTCAGTATTGATGCTACCTGAATGCTGAGGCTCCTTGCTGCCTTGTAGTCAGCCCTGTGGCCATATACATGGGCAAAATCTAGCTTTTTTTTGTTTTCTTTTTTAACAGCTGTAGACTACTTTCTTATTTGTTTATAACTATATGAGTAGTAGCAGGAAAATTCAGTTAATAAGAATACAAGAAAAATAAGAAAATAGTAAGTTAATAAGAAAATAAAAAATTAAGAAAAAAGTAGCCCATGTAACCAGAGACACGTAATTGGTGTTGTAAATACATGGGAGTTGCATAAACTGCACTGATCTGAGCTACATGCACATATTAACAGGAGAAGTTTTCAGTGGTGTCTGCCATCCATAGGTAGCTTTACTAAATGAGGCTGGGCTCTTGCTGTAGCTTAGCCTAGTTAAGAAACAAAGTGGTGATAGCATGTGTTCACTGTGGCCCTTCACACCAGGATGCTTTGTTCTTTACAAACAATAAATTCAGTCTCACACTGCTCTGCACTTCCTCTGGTATTTCTGAACATAGAAGGCAAATTTGCCATTTCCTGATTTTTATTTTTATTTTTCCTAAGGATTTTCTAGAGACATTGGTGAAGGCAAACACTGTGAGCAGCAGCTGCCTTCTGGCCACCACCAGCCCCAACATGTGTCAGCGTTGTGGGCTGCTTTGTGAAAAAGCATCTCCCCTCGTGCTTTTTCCTGCACTTCCATCCATTTTCAGCTTTCTGAAGCAAAACTGTTGACAAGATTTGTCTCTGCATGGCAGGTAAGCACTCGCTTCTTTTCCTGGGAATAAACTGAAGTTATGT